TTCTGACTACACCATAAGTGGTAAGGATGCATAGAAAAACTTTATATTCTATGATGTCTAAACTACATCCTTAATCACATTAAATGATCAATACATATGTTCTTGAAAAAAATTTTTATCATTTTATTCAACAGAATTATGACCAAAATATTATTTATAACTATAAGGTCATTATACGATTTAAGGTAAAGAAAACAAAAAAAAAGAATTCAAAGCGGCTTTCAAAAGACAAAAAAAAAAATTTTAATTCTGAAAAATGTAACCCAATTCTAACTATACTAATAATTTACAACACCTAGGTTGTAACCATTTCAATCATTTAGACCCAAAAAAGATAAGATTAAAAGTTGCTTCTTATTTTTTTCTCTTTCATAATGTTATTCTTTAAATTGTTTTCACAGCACCTTTAATTCTTTTTCATTAAACCCTTTTCCGACTTTGAAGCTTTCTTGAAATTTTTTAACTTTTTCTAACGTTTCTGTGGCCTTAGTAATAGTAATTGGAGGAGGTGGTGGTGGTTTATCATCATCGTTGTCATCAGTTTCATCATCATCATCATCACGAAACTCGTAATTTACCATTTCGATGATTTCTTTATCTGTTAGTGCATCTTCGGTTATGACTGGTTGATCTATCAGATGGGTATATTTTTCAATATTATTTATTAACTCTTGAACTTCTGAATTATTCTCAATCAAAAGGTCTTCAACTAATATATCAACATCATCAACCTCAGAGATTACATCTTCAAGTTCATTTTCTGGTCTACTTTCTTCTTAACTACCTTCTTCCTCCTTATATTCGTTTGATTCACTTGCTTTTGGCATAATCCTGGTGGTCTTCCAGCAATTTTTTATAGTAATATCGTTAACATCGTCCCACGTGTCAGAAATAAAGTTGATAGCTTCTCGTAACATAAGTTTTCTATATTTATAAACTAAACAATTAATATAATAAATAATTAATATAGGGGATGATTCTAAAATCAGATAATACTAAAATTTGAGAATTTAAGCTTTTTTAATATGAAATTTTAAAATTTTTTTTTTTTTTATGATTAGATTAGGCTTTAGGGTTAGAATTTAAAGGGTATTTGTAGGTTTTAGTAAGATTTATATTTTTTAGAGCTTTGATCCTATCTTTGATAGGCAATCCAGATTGAATTCGCATTAGATTACAGATAAAGCTAGCTTTATAGCACGTCCTTAGGTTCATTATTCAAATTCTTTAGCCAATCTGAGTAGAAATCTCTGATCTGGATATTTGAATCTATCTGGGTTTAAAGATCAATTCAGATAGTTAGATTAAGGATCGAAGCTCTAATATTTTTAAACAGATGCCCTAAAATTTAGCATCATTTGAGTTCTGCATCATTCCTGAAAATATCAAAATCAAAATTTTACTCTTGTTCTTTATTTTTTTCAAATTGTGAAAGCAGATGATGGCAATAGAGATTTTTATATTTCGATTTAAAGCATTTTATTACACCAGCATTCATCGGTTGAAGATGTGCGGTCATGTTAAGCAGGAGAAAATATACAGTGATGTTTGTAAGATAAGAATAATCTGAGATCTTTTTTTCTTTTTTTGAGATTTTTCACAGG